GGCTACTCTAACATTCCCCCCTCTGAAGAGGTAACCCTAAAATCTTTTAAGGATTAGATACAAGTTCCCTAAATACTTTTGACATTTCTGGCCTTTGGAACAGAGTATGCTGCTAAGAGGCCCAAGGAAATTTAGACTTTTAGCCAAGAAACTACTTTTCTTTGGGGTCTTTTCCCTAACTGCCTAGCCAATTCCTACCTCCTATTCTTATCACATCATCCTCTGAAGAGGTTGCCCAACTTGAAGATAGGGAATCGGGATGCAGACCACTCTGGCTTCTTCCATGCTGAACAGGGATGCAGGTGAGGTAACTGGAGTATCTCTTCAGTGGGTCTATCTAAGACTCCCAAATTGCACAACTCTTATCATCACGTGGAGGCATCTCTCCAGCCTGGCCGCCTTCTTCTTTTTAAAAAAATTTTAAAGGTTCTACATATTTATTACTCAACCAATCAATTCACTCATGCAGAGCAGATAAAAAAGCAAATCAGATTCCTAATTTAATATGACCAAATCTCCAGGCTAAAAATTCTCAGTTCCATTTGGCCAGGATAGAGCTTAAACGGTCAGTGTGAATCTTCACAGACTCAGCTTGGGTCTCCTCCAGAGTCTTCTCTTGGAGTTGTTCCTGATCTTGTTACTGGCTTTCATCTGAACCCACTGGGAAACAGGCCGATTTGGCTTTTGTTTCTTGGCCAGGAATCACTTGATTCTTGTGAGAAGACATGGGGGACCCAGACATACGTGTGGAGCATGATGGCAGACACAAGAAGAGCAGCCTGGCCTTCTCAATAACAACTCCCATCCTACCCTTGAATATTATCTCCTCATCCTGTGCAGTTTTCTTCACAGTATTTACTACCTACTGAAATTTTTGCTCATAAATTTATTTATCTCCCCAACTACAACGTGACCTTCAATTATCTAATTACCTGAGTATTACTTTTCCTGTTTAGTGTTCTCCAATTAAGCACTGGTATACTGATTAATTCCACTGCCTCCAGTGCAGCATTATCACTAAGACAGAAAAGTCCAAGGATTCCTCAGAGGCTGGGGAAGGAAAGCTTGAGGTGGGTGAACTACAGGGGAATGAAAAGGGCAGTTATGATACCTCAGTCCCCTTGAGGCAAAATGTACTTGTTCTTCTAAAGGGGACGGCTGAGTGACAGCCCATGGGAACAGAGACCACAGGGGTGAGCGAATACACATGGACACCAATGAACTGATAATGTAAGGGAAACTAGAAAACAGAATTTAAGAATTAAACTACAAGATTTTAAAAGTTTTTGACTTAATTTCTCCATTGAAAAAACAGTAGCTTCAACATCATTTTTTAGCTTTATGTTTTCCCAAAGGACTGGACATGTTCCAGTGCTACACACGTCAGGGTTTCTGCAGTGCTCTCCCACCGCCACATGATCACAGGGTTCCTTGCACATTTGCTCCTTACCGATTCGACAAATGATCTTGCTTCCTCTGGAGTGCAGTGGAAAGGGCTATCACACACCTGCACGTTTGTGCTGGAGAAGAAAAGACAAGGCTATTAAAACCAGAAAAAAAAAAAGACCAATTACCAAAAGAAAACCAACTCCAAATGCCCCTTGTTGCCTATGTAACTTGTGCCAGTGGATGACAAACAGAATGAGCATAGAATCACTGCACATTCTTTTAGGCAAAATTGCAAATATAGAATACCACATAAGACTGCATTCTCCACAATTAAAACAAGCTTAAAATAATATAAAAATCAAAATAATTTTCTGGTGTGTATATAAGTAACATTAAACTGCATGTCATTTTTCTGAAGTATCAGAGTCAACATATTGAATGGGACTATCCAGAAAATTTTCCTCTAAGTAATAAACACTGTAACTGGAGAGAGGCTGTAGATTCCCTTGCTCAGAGAGACAGAAGATTCAGGAGAAGAGCAAACTACAGGAAACACAAAAGCTTTTCTTACAAGTAGGGTCATTCCCAGGTGTGGTGGCACACGCCTTTAATCCCAGCACTTGGGAGGCAGAGGCAGGTGAATCTCTGAGTTCAAGCCCAGCCTGGTCTACATAGTGAATTCTAGGGCAGTTGAGACTGCAGGGAGACCCTGTCTCAAAAAGACCAAAAACAAACAAACAAAACCAAACAAACAAACAAACAAACAAGTACAGCCAGTCAGGAAGGCAGAGTAACAGCCACAGCTCCTTCTCTGATTGGTAAGTGCTTGGCTAGGACAAGCCCTTACCTGTTTTGTAACTGCAAAGCACACTACCGCTGCCCAGGCCCTGCTCCCCAGGTGATAGCAGAGGCACCAATCCTCTCACACACAGTAAGGCTGAGTTTGAAAAATTTCACCCAAAAACTGACAGATTGAAATGGAAGTAGAAAGCATGAGTAAAGGAGGGAGATAAGAAGACCAAAGTCCCTTTTCCAATGAAAGGGAAACGTCTCCTACAAACACTTCATTTTCCTCAAATAGATACATACTATCAGATTTGTTTTTGCAATTTTGTGAAATTTGTTAGGTAAGGTCTATAAAGAAGCCATCCATTTACCTATTTATCTTCTAAATGTATCTCTCTGTAAGTCATGAAAGAGTGGTCATTTGGGCTTCCATACAAACTCTATGTGGAACTTTGGTTTTCAAAAAAATGTCTCCTAAGGTTTTTATTATTATTATTACTATTACATTTATGTAGTTATGCATATATGTATTTACTTATTTGAGTGAGTGTTGTGTGTGCGTGTGTGTGCATGTGTACATGCCACATAGCATGTGTGTGGAAGTCAGAGGACAACTTGTGAGAGTTGGTTCTCTCTTACTATCACATGGATCCAGGGGCTCAAACTCAGGTTACTAGGCTTCAGGGCCAGTGCCTTTACCCACTGAGCTGTCTCGGCAGTCCAAGCTTGATTTGTGTTCTGAGACGGTCTCTCATTATGTCACCTGTCTCTTACTCACTGGGGTGTTGTGCACCATCACTCGTGGTTCAGCATGAAAATCTTGATGAAAGGTGGCATTATATTTTACTTATAACTTTCTTTACTAAAATTTTGTTTCTCCACAGCTCTTCTTTAAGTAGCTTAAAAATTGAAGAAAAGGTGGAGGCCCTAAGTAAAGCCAGATGTTTCTCAAATGAGAGAAAAAAATAACAGGAAGTTGGCAGAAATTAGACCTTGCAAAGTTTTAAGTGCCAGTCGTCCAAAGAAAGCAAGGCACAACAGTACATTTGTTGCACATGGGCTGGAGAGATGGCTCAATGGTTAAGAGCAATTACTGCTCTTCCAGGGGACCCAGGTTCAGTTCTCAGCACCAACATGGCAGCTAACAACCATCCGTAACTCCAGTTCCAGAGTATCTAACACCCTCTTCTGGCCTCTGTGGGCATTGCATGACATGGGCACACTTACATACATGCAGGCAAAACACACACACACACAAAATAAAATCAATCAAAATTATTTTTTTTTAAATTACTGTACATGAGGCTTTTCTGTAAAAGATGCTTTGCTTGTAACGCCTGGGTAACTGGAGGTAAGAACAAAAGGGAGGCTTCTCTAAGGAGACTACCAGATGGAACACGGGATGGCCAAATCTGAATGCAGATAAACTGTTTTATTTTCCAAAAATCAGAAGGAACACACATTTAAGAAAACTGTCATGAAAATCAAAATTACCTATGCATACTTTCTTTTTTTTTTTTGGTCTTTCTCAGACAAGGTCTCCCTGTCATCCCAGCTGGCCTGGAACTCACTATGTAAGGCTGGCCTTGAACTCACAGAGATCTGCCTGCTTCTGCCTCCCGAGTGCTGGGACTAACAGTGTGCCCCACCATACCCAGCTTTCCCAATTTTTTTTTTTTTTTTTACTATGTGTATTTTTTAACCTGTTAAACCTGATAACCCCCACAGAGAGTAACCCAAACAAGGGAACAAAGGGAAGAACAGAGGGAAGCCACAGGCAGGGTTTAGAAAAGAGCAATATTAAAGCAGTAGGATAAAATTTTAAAACAGAATAATTTTTTTTAAATTTCCAATAAAATATTTTGACAGGCACTAGAAGCCAAGTAGCTCTGCTGTTTTTTCACTTTGGAAATACAATTAGTCAAAAAGCCAATACTTATTTTAATCACTAGGATTTTATGAAGTAATTTGTACTGTGAATGCTTTAAGCTTTAGTCCCAGGCAGGTTAGCAAGAAGCATTTTACTTCTCCTGAACTGTATGTCATGTAAAAATGCTTGTTTAGATGAGCCTGGTGGTGCAGGCTTGTAATACTATCTACTTAGGAAGGTGAGGGAGAAGGATTGCGAGTTCAGGTCTTGCCCAGTACAGAGAGGCTCAAGGCCAACTTAGGGAATGTAGTGAGACCCTATCTCAAAATAAGAGAAAAGTTTATTTCACATTGATTTATATTTATTTGCAGGTTCAAAAATTGTATCATACATTAAGGATTTTTTTCCAGATGCTGGAGATAAAACACTGACCCATAGAGTCCTTTTAGCTTTCAAAGTGACCACAGCCTACACAGCATAATCACTAAAGATCACTGTGGTGGTGGTACGTACTGCAAAAAAAATGTGATTAAAAAGAGCCAAAAATAATGTGCTTTCTTTGCTTTATTAAAGAACTAAATAATTTTTTCTAAATTTATAAATTCCCTAGCTCTGAAAAAAACAAATGAATAGATAAACTTATAATAATTTATAAATGGTACATGGACAATCTTTCTGACCAAGCCAGGCAGACAGACATGGCATTCGAGCAAATAATCATCAGTATCAAAAACTCTACACAACAAACACAAATTGCATTTAGAAATAAAAAGACATATTAATAAACTGATAACAGTAAAAAAGCTGACAAGATAAAAAAGAAATAATTATCTGAAAATAATACATATAAGCAATGAATTTTATAGGGTCAGTAATGTGGGATTTTAATACATGGAAAATTATTTTCTTCAAGTTAGTCTCAACTTAGAGAAAGGCTCACATTCATGATATTCTCAAAGGCAGTGTCCAGGGTACAGGCTGCCAAGACTTTCCATTCCACAGCAACACAGTCAAGAACAAAAGAGAGAGAAAATATAAAGATGCAAGACTGACAATGATTTTGGACTATGGCCTCTAGAGTGTGTGGGGTATATAAAACAGAACAGGAACTATCGGTACATAAAAGTTATTCATTACTATTGTGTGTATATGTGCAGAGTGGGGGAGGGCATATGTGCCATGATGCATACGTATCCACAGGTCACAGGTCGGGTCTCTCCCTCCACCTTTACATGGCTTATAGGGATAAAAATCAGGTCACCAGACTTGTACAGCAAGCACTTTAGCTGATGAGCCATCTCATTGGCCCTAAAAAGGTATTTTCTATGAATTAAATGTACTTTCTTCTGGGAAGGTAAAAAGAAAACAATTTCAAGACGTAAATTAATTTGGAAAACTTGAAAATACAGTTCTTTACTTGGTAAGCTTGTACCTTCTGCATGATGTCCTGCTGTAGTGTGCAGAAGCACAAATTCAGTCTGCAGCACAGACTATAAGACCCAAGTGTGCTCTGGGGTGTGTACAGCAGTGATGCAAGAGCCCAGGAGATGGAGCACAGAGGTAGGGACCACCACACTTCAGTGGACAGCCCCCACACCCAGAGTTTATCAGCAGCACAAGTCGGAGTCAATGGGTTATTTAAAAAATGGGAGGTGTTAGAGGAGTGGGGGTGAATATGATCAAAATGCATTGGATGAAATTCTCAAAGTATTAATAAAAATACGATGTGGTAGTTTTGAGGTAAAGGAAATAACCGTGTATTTATATATTGGAAAATTGCTGGTTTTTTCCTCCATCTTTGTCTCAGTTTATTGAAGTATTTGTTTACTTGTGTCTCTTACTGAAATATAAATCCTTTGATGAAGGGACCCATGTTGGATTCCTAACTTCATAGTGCCAACACTGAGCAACGATCACCAAACAGTTGCTCTGCAATTTTTAGATGAAAAATAATTTAACTTCCTTCTTTAAAACTCTGAGATTTGAACAGTGTAATGTGGCTGTTTAGTAACAATTAACAGTAACATTCTGTACATAGAAGAGACAAATTCTTACCAATTTATAGCTCCTTTCTCACATTTCTTCATAAGCATTGCTTTCCAATATTCATGTGCAGAGTTAATAACTTCAAGAGCAAAAGCCTAGTTCCAACCAAAAAAGGACACAGCAATCACACTGTTAGACTGACACAGAACTAACCTCACTGTGAAGTAACCTGTTAAAGAGTACCAGATCAGGCAATGGATCATAAAACCGGGCTTCCTTGTCAACCAGCTGTGGTACTAAGCAGGCACTTAATCTCACTAAGCTTCCTCTTCCTATTCTGAAGAATGACACAAAATGGGGGAGGGGGATCCATAAAAGGGGTAGGCACATGGAAGCCTGTGGGTCAAATATGGGCTGCCATCTTTGGCCTATGGATGCTTTAGTGAGATGGCAGTACTGAGTAGTTGTGAGGGAGCCACACGATCTGTAAAGTCGAAAACGCTATCTGACCCTAAAAAGAGACAGTTCGCCCATCTCTGATCAAACCAGAGTTATTGAATAATAAGATGATGCATGTGAAGTGCTTAGCCTAGTCCATGGCCTGTAAGGAAGAAGCCCGTTTATCCCATCATCACATAACTGCACATCTAACTGCAAAGTGATTTTTGGATGACTCACTGTCTGAAGGTGGCAAATCTTAGCATTTTCCCAACTTTCCTCAATACAGTTCATAAGATGTCTAAAACTGTACAATCAACAATAAAAAAAATTTTGAGAGGTATACACCTAATAAGACTATTTAATGAAAATTGACTTCATTCTTCAAAAGAGAAAATTCTTTTAATGATGTCTTTCCCCAAAATGCTGTTTTCCTTTTTAAGGAAGAGTCCTCATTTATTATTTAAGTCATACTAGCTTTTTTTTTTTTTCTCCTCAATTGCAACTAATTATACTGATAATGAAGAATATAAAAAATCTTGGGTTCTAAGATAGAATCACAATGGAAATTTAACTTGTAAAATAAAAGTTCTCTCAGGTCTACCGGGAACTAAGAGAAAGAGAATGGCTGAATTCTCAACGAGGCAGTGTTGGGACTTCCTTTTAAAATGGAGGGCAAGAAACCATTTAGTATATAGATAATACAAGGGAAGCTCTTTAGCTAAAATTATTTGACAATTGTGACTCTTTGGAGTAAATTCCAGTACCCACTTAAAGCAATCGGCAGGAAAACCTTAAAAATGGGAACCAGTTTTTCAACCATATTAAAGAGGTACAATTAAATGCTCTTGAGTTAGGCTCTGTGTTTGAAATGGCAGTGGCAAAAAGCAATTCATAAAATGATTATTTTTCTGAAGAGGTTGAAAGAATGATTCAGTCTCCACATAAAAAAGAGCTGTTGTATAGCTGGGCGTGGTAATCCCAGCACTTGGGAGGCAGAGGCAGGTGAACCTCTGTGAGTTCAAGGCCAGCCTGGTCTACATAGTGAGTTCCAGGACAGCTGGGGCTACAGGGAGACCCTGTCTCAAAAAGATAAAAAAAAAAAAAAGGAGCTGTTGTTTGTTAAAAGCCAACAAAACACAAAAAAATACCTGGCTCCATGACTCCATGAAGTCATGAATTGGTAGGCTGAGTCTGAGGCAATATGAGACTCTGTATGTATGTGTGTATGTATGTGTGTGTTATGTGTGTGTGTGTGCACATTTTATAATTTCTATTGTTTCAAATAAAAAATTATAACATATTGTGAGGAAAAAGATAATTTGTTATAAAAATTTCCAACACTCCATTTTTGGGGCTGGAGAGATGGCTCAGCAGTTAAGAACAGTGGTTGTTCTTGCAGAAGACCTGGGTTTGAATCTCGCCACTCACATGGCAGCTAGCAACTGTTTGTAACTCCAGTCCCAAGGGATCTGACAGCCTCTTCTGACCTCCACAGGCACTGCACAACACGGGTGCACTTATCTACATGCAGGCAATATATGCAGACATAAAATAAAAATAATAATAATAAAAAAATTCCAACACTCCATTTTTAAGAGAATGCAGTCTAAAATAATAGCTTTATGCTGTACTTAAATGTACTTAAAATTCTAAACAAGGGCCTCATGACATTAAGGGTTCCTTTAAGGAGACTTTTAAAAAAATAGAGTCCAGCAGTCAATTCTCATATGGAGAAACTCCTACTATAAACTTTGAACATTAAGTGCTTTATTTCGCTTAGAAACATACAGTAAAATATGTGGCTATAGCAAAATAGCCACTTAGAAGATGGCTAAGCATGTGCAATTTACTTAGTGGTAAGAGCTTTTTAAAAAAATTCCATATTTTAGACTTTAACTCCTTGGCACATTTTCTAAGTTTGTGTCATATTAGATCAGAGACATTTTATGGAAGTTTTATGGCATTCTCATAGAAAAACCCCAAGACAGTAAGAAAATTCAAATGTTTTCTTAATTGTTAAGTAACTTCATTGAGTCATGACAGAATTAACTGTCAGGTGGGAATCTTGGATGGGTTTCCATTAAGAACAAACAGCCTCTTCAAACTAGGAAATGGAGGGTGTTTCTTCACCACAATCTGCAAAGTTAAACTACAGCAGTCCTTCATTTTGAGATGAACTACATGTAGATCAGCCTTGTTGATTCACTTACATCTCCTGAAAAAAATTTAATGCTAATGTCCTTAAATATGTAAGTCAGTAAAACATACTTTGTCTTCTTCATGCCATTTTTACATAAAATCATCTGAGGTAAATGAGTGGTGCACAGACATCAGGCGTTACATTTTAACACAGGCTTTTTACCTTGTTTTTGAATTCTCCATCAAAACCAAACTTGTTTTCTGGTTTTCCTTCTGGTACTTTATAAAGTCTCAACCAATTAAGAGTAGCTTCCAGGTAACCTGGTTTGAACCTCTTAACGTCATCAATATCTGTGAGAGAAGAAACAAAAATACATTCCTGAAGAAACAAAATCCATTTCACTCAGTGGTACAAGTACATTCACTAAGCCCCTTCAGGCAATGTACATGGACAGATACAAGTTTCTTTTTGTCTGCAAGTTCCCAGGGCTAGACAGCAGAGAAAATGGACAGTAAATGGTAATAAGGTGCCATGAGGTTTTCCCAGATACACACATGGGAAGGGCAATACTATACAAGAGGGAAGGAAAGAAAGCCCCATAGATGAGTGAGTCTCATCAGCAGGCAGACAAGAGAGGGAAGGAAGAAGGAACAGCACACAGAAAGCCAGGGAGTGTATTACAGGAAACAACATAGGTAGTTCTGCCTGGTTAGAACAGGGGAGTCAGGAGAGGGTGCAGAGGGAGGCAGCAACCCTAAGTGGACCAGGCCAGTGAGGCACATATACTTCCAGAAGGACTGATACTATCTGATTGGTAATGGAAGGGCTTAAACAAGCAAAGTCACACCATCAGGATCTGGTGAGAGCAGTGCCCAGAGGACAATGCACCAAGGTTGGATGAGAAAGAGTTAGGGTACTTTTGCCCAATATTGAGGAAATTCTCACCATGTATCAGACTCCACCCCTATTACTGTGGCTTACACAGTGGAGAAGCAGACAAACTAATATGTTCACTAACAAAAAAGTCCCATCAGAAAAATGAAGCAAAGTGAGAAAGACAGAAGGCAAGTCGGGATTTACACGGGCTGATGGCACCTTAACGTTACAAAATAATCACTCAGATTCATCAGTGATTTCAGGGTTTACTTTTGATAACATTCACTAGAATATAATTGGAAATAAAGTAACTGTATTAAGATTAATAAATCCTTTCTTCAAAGAGGTCCCTAGGGAATGCAGCCTTTAAGAATGTAGCCTATAAGAAATACTTGTGACTGAAGGAAAACTTAGGCTAGTCCTTTGATGTACAATATGTCATAACAAATAACAAACAGACTTGGTAGCATCTGAAAAATTGCAAAGTTATTACTAAAAACCAGGAGATGATGTACACATAGGGATAATCCAGAGAGGACCTGCTTGACAGGGAAAGGCAAGAATTCTGTAATCTCTGGCCAAACAGACAAGCATTATTCTCTTGCTTTTCACACTGGCCTGCAACCTGTTATCCAGACATAGCACTCCAGAGCCTGGGGCCGCACCCCCTGGATAATTAACCACAGAGGGGGTGGGGGGGGGGGGGGGGGGGGGGCTGGTAGTGCCCAGGGAAAAGAGGAGGTCCAGTATGACACATTCAGATTTAAAGTTTGGAATGATACGATGACTGTCCATCTATCAAAGATATTTTGCAACAAAACCTAGCAGTGTTACAACTAACCAAAAGGAAATACAGGCCACGCCTGCTTCATTGATCAGAGTCAACATATTAAGTTATGGACTATGCTTTGTCAGTGAGTTGTAAAGAGTACATCCTTTCAATATTACACATTGCATTTTGGGTTTTAGAATCCGTTGTTGTGTCCCAGAGACTCTAATAAGCATTTCAAGCATTATAAAATATCGTTACAAATTAATTAATTCTGGATTTCTCTAGCTCAGTGCAAAGGGGGGGGGGGCTTTTAATCCAATGAAGATAAATAACTAGAAATGTACTTTAACTAAAGTCCAAAATAATTTATTATGTCAATCTGATTGATGGCTATCTTTGCACCTTATTCAATCTATCGCTCTATTCCACTGTTGAGAATCATGTTTGATTAATGTTATTTAACTCACTGACTTCAAAGAAAGAAAAAGCTAATTATTCAATACTTCTTTCAGTACAGGAAGCTCTTTCCTCAGAAATTATGAAGGGAACCTTTAAGATAACAGTAATTTTTTAAAGAGTCAAACATTTAAGGATGCCAATAAAAACTACAAATCTCCAATACAAGCTAAGCTTTTCAATTTTCAATTAATTATATCCCAGGAGAGAACATCTGCATTTTCACAAATAACACAAAACACAGACAAAATTTTAGGCATGCATTTTAACATTTTCTAAAAGCTCAGTTACACAAGGTTTTAATCCCAGCACCTGAAAGGCAGAGGCAGGCAGATCTCTGCAAGTTGGGTCCAGCTTGGTCTACATAGCGAGTTCCAGGTCAGCCAGGGCTACATAGTGAAACCCTGTCTCAAAAACAACATCTCTCCAGGGCTGGAGAGAAGGCTCAGTGGTTAAGAGCCCTGGTTGCTCTTGCAGATGATCTGAGTTCAAATCCTAGCACCCACATGGCAGTTAACAACTATCTATAACTACAATTCCAGGGGATCCAACTCCTTATTCTGACCTCTGCAGGCACTGCATGACATGGATACACTTATATACATGTAAGCAATACACTTAATACACATAAAATAAAAATAAATAAAATATTTTTATTTTATTATTATTATTATTGTGTATGTTTTTGAGACAGGGTCTCCCTGTAGCCCAGCTGGCCTGGAACTCACTATGTAGACCAGGCTGGCCTTGAACTCACAGAGATCCTCCTGCCTATGCCTCCCGAGTGCTGGGATTAAAGGCTTGCACCACTATGCCTGGCAAATAAAATATTTTTAAAAAAACAGCAACAAAACCAACTTGTCTAAATCCATAACTTCTGTTTTTCTTCTATCTTGCATTGTCCAAAAATGTTATCCACATTAACAATAAATGCACTTGTAAGTTTTCTTCTGCTGTGCCGGAATACGCATGGCACAGTGTTTTCTACTGTAGTCATCTTGGGCGTTTAACTCAGTGGCATTATGTTTCTCCATAACTTCTATCCATCACTATCCATCTGCAGAACGTTACTTAATGCATTTATATGGCATGCACTATCTTTAAGTAGCACTTGTATAGTACTCATCTAGTCCTATGCTTCAAATTTTACATGATAGCTTCTACTTTGGCAATCATACCATTTATTTCAGAGATGAACTACTCCAACCTAAGTTGTGAGCACCTGGAAATGACTTTTTATAAAATAAAGCTAAATTTATTTCAGCTTCTGTTTTAGATTACCAGTTAAGCTATTTTAATTGACATCCAGTGCAGTGTGTGCTGAGTCTGATGGAACACTCTAGAAGGAAGCCCACACATCTGCTACCATCAATTAGGTTTATCTTTGCCAAATATCAGGTGTATTTATTTCTGAAACATTTTCACAATTACATCTACTGTCACAGTTATGAAATTTAACTAAATATCAGGTAAATTAGGTGAATTAATCAATTAAAAATGTCTTGGGTTCTCTGAAATTATTTTTGAATGTTTTGATAAAGTTACTAAAAATATTTGTCAACAAATTAGTCCTGGGTAACAGACTTAGAGAAAAACTAAAAATCTACAATGCATAGGGGAAAGCACTTTGGACAACAGAAGTCAACCCCATGTAAAACATTTAGAGTCTTGAATGAACTATAGAAATAACTCATTCAGGTTTCTGGGTGTTTTTTTCAGGCAGGAAGACAAACAAGGAAAAAATTCTGCAGTAAACGTGTGCTCTGAGGTTTGAGGAAGGGAAGAGCAAAGTCCTCTGGCTAGAGCTGGATGAACCGAGGAGCTGGGAGACAAGAGGAGCAGCCACACACCTGCCACACACAACTCTCAGGACCACACTGTGGACTTTTATTCTGGTATGGTTCAAGACAGAGAAGTACAGATTGTAGGGAATTTCTCCATGTGTCATGTAGAGAAACATCTACCCTATAGAGAGAAAAAGTAAAGCAAGAGACCAAGTAAGGGATGCAGCCCTACACCTACATTAATGCAAGCGTACAGAGGTGGTGAGAAACTGCTAGATTTTGAATATTTTCAGAAAGCAGAAAAGAGGAATTTCTAATTATTAAAAGAACAAGCTAGTAAATATCACACTTATATATGAGTCAAAATATCAAAGAGTGGAGATAGACTGTAACACTAAGTGAAAATCTAAATCACAGAAAAACTAAAAGCAGTCACCAAAATTTGTATCACCCTAAGTTTTTAAAATCAGCTTTATGAGACTGCTAAATAATAAATATCAGGAACCTATAAGACCTATCGGTAGAAATTAACTAACTAGTCTAAGAAATAGCAAAGATAAAAGTTTCTCTAATGAAAAAGATTCAGTGATCAGGGAAAGGACAAAAAGTGACCTAAAATACATGTCTCACAGTCTCCCAATGAAGGTAAGAAAATGAGTGAGAAAATGTCAAACAATTCTGCGGTGGTTTGAATGAAAATGTCCCCCATTGGCTCCAAGTGTTTGGAAATTTTGTCCCCAGTTGGTGGTGCTGTTTAGGGAGGTCTCAGAAGGTGTGGCTATGCTGGAGGAGGCACGTCACTGGGGGTGGGCTTAGGGAGTTCTTAAGCCTTGCCAGATCTCCAGTAGCTCTCTTGCTTTCCTGTGCCTGGGTGATGATGTAAGAGTTTGGCTTCAGCCACCTCCAGCCACCATGATGGACTGTAATTCCCCTGGAACTGTAAGCTCAAATAAACGCTTCCTTTGTTTTGGCCAGTGTTTCTATTCACAGCTACAGAAAAGTAACTAATACACAATAACTAAATGATTTCTCAGATGCAATGGATCCAGAAAGTTCAGCATAACCTAAGCAAGATAATTGCAAAGGAAAGGACACCCTAGCACAGCATAGAAAAAAAATAGTTGGAATCCAAAAGTAAGAAGAAATTCTTTAAAACAGTCTGAGAAAAACAGTACTTTTGGGCTAGAGAGATGGCTCCGCTGTTAAGAACACTGACTGTTCTTGCAGAGGACCTGGATTCAGTTCCCAGCACCCACATGATAGCTAACAACCACCTGTAACTCAAGTTCCAGAGAATCTGACACTGGCTTCTGTAAGCAATGCATGTATGTGGTACACATACATACATGCAGGTAAACACACATAAAATTTAAAAAGTGAGTAAAGCTTTAGAAAACAATTTTTTATAAAAGATAATAATAATACAAACGGCTACTGTCTTAGACACAAAGGAAAGAGAGGG